TATATATATATATATATAATTGTAAATAAAACTTTGTGACCGAATTTGGTAGATAGAACTGTTACATCAATTGTGAATCGAGTAATATGCAAATTAAAAAAACAATGTATATATATAAAATATATATAAAATAGGAATATAAATAAAAATAAACTTATCTTTCCATTGCAGATGGTTTCACCCTAACATCACGGGTTTAGAAGCTGAACGTCTATTGATGGAACGAGGATATGACAGTTCATTTTTAGCACGTCCAAGCTCCTCAAATCCTGGTGACTTTACATTGTCTGTCAGGTGAATTGGAATGCTGACTTCTTTCTTTTTTCTTTCTCTTTCTGACTCTCTCTCATTCTCATTCTTTCTTTATTATACAAGTTAATTCAATGAAAAGCATACAAATACACACCAATACGTAACACTGGATACCTTCGTCTTATTCTCAGACGGAATGGTGAAGTGACTCATATTAAAATACAAAATACAGGAGACTTCTACGATCTGTACGGTGGTGAGAAATTCGCCACGCTTTCCGAACTGGTACAATTTTATATGGAAAACGGCGGGCAATTGCGCGAGAAGAATGGCGAGATTATCAAGCTCAAGTATCCTCTCAATTGCGCCGATCCCACGACTGAAAGGTACGCGCGTTTCTTGCATATCTGCATGTTTTTGCGTAATATCAGTTGTCCGACGTACGACTCGGTACAGTCACACTGTCAATACCATCCCGTGCGCAAATACATTGGGCGCGTGCTAATAGTAAGATGTGACCGAAGGTGGTTCCACGGCCATTTGTCGGCCAAAGAGGCGGAACGGTTGATGCTGGAACGCGGCAAAAATGGATCCTTCTTGGTGCGCGAGTCCCAAAGTAAACCCGGCGACTTCGTGCTGTCCGTACGCACCGACGATCGCGTCACGCATGTTATGATACGATTTCAGGTGGTTAATTACACACCTTATATGCAACGTCCGACGTACGTTAAGATCGTATCTAAAGCGCGGTAGAGAAAGTCACACTGGTGATTCACTTATCTGTGAATCGGGAGCTCAGACGTTTGCGAAGTAACGAAACGGAACGGATATTAGCCTCCATACGTAAAACATTGTTGGTGTAACAGTAGCGGTCGGCGAAATTGGAGACGTTCTTTTTGTAAGAGAGCCAATTCACATTGTAGGACAACAAATATGACGTGGGCGGTGGCCTCAAGTTCGACAGTCTCAGTGATCTGATAGAGTATTATAAGCGAAATCCAATGGTCGAAACGAGCGGTAGCGTCGTTCATCTTCGGTAAGAATCACTCACTCCAATACTCCATGACCTGTATTAATAGTCGTTACGTGAAACTTGCCCCGCGTGAAATTCTCAGGTCTAAATTTAGAGATAGATTTAAGTTTAAGTTTTGAATTATTTAATATATATATATATATATATATATATATATATATATATATATATATATATATATATAAATATATAT